AGTAAGACCGGTACTTGAGTACGCCGTCCCTATTTGGCAAGACATTCCGGATTATCTATCGAAGGAAATTGAGTCGGTCCAAAAACGAGCACTAAAGATAATTTTCTCGGAGAGCGAGTCATATGCGGAGGCCCTGAATTTTGCACAACTACCAACTTTAACCACAAGAAGAGTGCAAATATGTCAGAAATACATGGTCAGAATGAGGCGAGAAAACCATCCCTTATTGCCAATCCCTGTTGTTCCTGACCATGGCATTAATTTGAGACAGAACACTGATCGATTTTATCTATTTAATAATGTTACTGATTGCAGAACAATTAAAGCTCAATCCTTTTTTACATTTAAATACTCTTAATATGTTGTTCCTGACCATGACATTAATTTGAGACAGAACACTGATCGATTTTATCTATTTAATAATGTTACTGATTGCAGAACAATTAAAGCTCAATCCTTTTTTACATTTAAATACTCTTAATATGTTAAGATTTTTTTAATATATATGAAAATTGTAAATAATTATGCATGCACTATTTACTATTTTGGTAAATGCCTAATGATTTTAACTCTTGTAAATAGCCTAGATTGTTCTAAAGCATATCCATGTACTATTTTATAACATATTCTTATCTGTTGTAAAGTACTCGTTAATTCAGTTGTTCCTGTAACTGCAAGAGAGTCCTAATAAACTATTATTATTATTATTATTATTATTATATTATTATTATATATATATATATATATATATATATATATATATATATATATATATATATATATATATATATATATATATATATATAGCTTAAGATTTTGGTTATGTATATATAGCTTAAGATTTTGGTTTACGAAACACAAACAATGCTCAATACCATATAGATAGAAAATGTATACGGATGAAACAGACTGTTGTGGTTTTTTGAGGTAAAACGAAAAACTATCGAAAAACAATCGGCGGTTGCCAAAATCGTTTAGGTTGAACTAGTAATTTCTCTCTTTGCTCTGCAATCTGAGAAATTCATATGTTGAATAGCAGCTCTGCTTTTTCGATTTATATGTCCATATACAGCGACATATATTTACTCCTGAACGGGGAACTTTTCTGTGCCAGTAAAATTAAACTTTCTGTTGGTAAAATTTCACCCAGAATTAGCGCTAACAGATCTTTGAACAAAAGTTCCTTGGAAAAAAGCCAGAAGAGAAAAATGCTGACTTCCGCTTACTTCAACTTCTCTGATATCATTTCCATCTTTTCTTCCAAGTGTTTACGATCTTCTTTAATTTGATCGTGGATTACTTTCAATTCATCCCGTAAGCTTGAACGAAAATTTTCTAATTTAAGTTCAACCGCTTTTTCAATATGATCTTCCCAAGTAATTTCCATTTCAATGATTTCATATTCATATTCATGCTCATTTTTCTCACCGTCGACTGCGTCCATTTCGCTACCGAAGTACAGTAAACCCACGACTTTTTGATAGAGATTCTGTTTTCGTTGAGGAAAGTCAATGTGGAATTTGTCTTCTTTCATTCTCAGGTAAGGGATGGTGTTTACACTTTTCTCCAGATGAATAATAAAATTAGCCTTCAAAGAAAAAAGTCCTAAAATATCATCAAATGTGATAAAATAACCATGTATAGGCGAGTTTTGTAAAACGTTAACACTTTCTTGCAACAAAAGTAATTTGAGTTGATGTCACGCATGCATATAATACCAGAACACGAAATATGTAAACATGCTCCAGTGGAAAAGAATTCCCTGAAATAAACATGGTTTGTGGCCGCCTTCCTTAAACCGTCATATTTTTCAAGGATTCAATGTTAGGATTGAATTATTCGGTCTTGGGATTTAATGATTCAATATTCAGTCTTAGGATTAAATCATTTAAATGATTTAATCTTAGAATTGATTTTTTCATTCTTAGGATTCAATTTACTGTAGGTGTGCATGAGGTGGTGAGCTCATCAGATATTCCATCGGGCTTGTTTTTAGGGGCTGCCCGTAGTTATCTTTCCCAAGTTTTCCCTTCCCGTACGCCTATGTCAGTAAAAATTACCCAAAAAAATGACGCTACCCGTGCTCGTAAATCAGAACTGTAGTTTCGTAACCTCTGTTATGCACACCTCCCTCTGTCCTTTTGAGACAACTAATTCCCTTCCCATAGCCATGAAGTCTCTCGGCTGCGAGCGAATTACCCTATAATTACTCCTTACTTCGGGAATGGCCAACTGATTAAAATGGATCACAATTTGGGCATTTCGAAAAAAACTTTTATTAAAAACCTATCACTCGTACCCTCCGTTTAAATTTATCAACTTTTGCTGATTTCATGACTTCATCGGTATCCCCAACAGCTAAACCAATCAGAGCATTGTTTACAACTATCGACAAGACGAGTATACACAAAATAAGGACAGCCATCTTTAGTTCGTAAATCTCCGCATGCCATCCAACGTTGACAAATTGTTCCTCATACTCAAAACCAGATGTCATGGCAACAAATGTTGAAACGATCGAAATCTGAATATTACGAAAGCTATCATGTTCTGTTAACAATATGTAGAAGGTGGTGGAAAAGCTTAGTAAATATATGACAACAACGATCAATATCTAGAAAAACCAGGATAAGTATGAATTAATTTAATGTTCATAATTTTGTACAATAATTGTGGCTTATAGGAATTCAGAGCTTTTTTGAAGAATTTGTCCGTGGGGGGGGGGGGGATATACAAATAGGGACCATACTGGGGAGTGTGGAGAGATGACAGAGGTTGCTGACAAACATTTTGGTGTGGTATCGCATGTCCCCAGAAAATGTTTGTATTTTTCTACCCCTAGGACTGCACTTCGGCGGCGCGTTTTCTGAAACAGATTTTTTTATTTCCAGTGTTACATTATGCTGTAGCTAGACTGAATCTTCAGTTAAGTACTTGCATGGTATGTTTATGTAAATATCACAACTCGGTCACTCATGGCCAGGAAGCTTGATAAACTTAGGGGGCTCGACTCCCATCAACACCATGGTTGGCAAATTTTGAGTCTCTAGATCGTCGGAAATGGAATTTTCAGAGTCTACCTCTTTCGTCTTTCATTATGATTTGTTAGTCTATGCTATCCGTACATGAGAAGTTAGGATGGATTATTACGAGAAATATTGTTATCAAAATATTGATCACACATATTTGAAGATATTTGATTAATATATATGTACGATTTCAAATTCCTCTAGTTTCGAATTCAATTGTTTTTAGGGGGGCCGAAAGCTTTTCCCACGCCCCCCCCCCCTCCCGCCATATAAAGTATTGGGTTGGGGGCCAGCGGCCCCCCTGGTTCCTACGCCCCTGTGGTCACTATAGTTTAGCCGAGCCTTCCAACTCAAATCTATATGGTCTTGGATATGAAGGCATTTAGAACACAATGTTTACCATTTTTAAAAAGACATTGTATTTTAAAAAGATAAAAGACAGGACATAAGATTCACAAAGCAAATTTAATTTACTAGAATATCAAACCTCCCTTCTAAATTCAATGTTTTGCTTATATTTTAGAGAAAAAGGACTTTGGGGGGGGGGGGGGGGGGGGGGCACGGTGGAGGCTGGGGCAGGGCTTTGGTGGGGTCGGTATTTTTCGAGTTAAGCCCTTCGAATTAAGCCCTTCCGAGTTAAGCCCCTGCCACGCCCTTTTTCACCGGGGCTTAACTCTAAGTCAATTAACGATTTACAGGTAAACTACGTGAAGCGTTCCTCTTTTGACTTCCTAACTCATTTGGAATTTTCCTTATTAGCTTTGCAAATTTGAAAAACTCTTTGCAAATCCCTTGAGGGAAATTGCAATGTTCCTATCGGCTGTTGCAATATTCCAATGCAAAAAACTTCATTTTAAATTTTCCTAACTTCCTGTTTTAATTTCCTGACTTCCTGTTCTGTTTTGAGCGTTGTCATTGGTCGATTATTTTTGTTAGCCAATTGCAACGCGCAGAACAGAACAGGAAGTTAGGAACTTCTAACAGGAGTTAGGAACTTCTAACAGGAACTGAGGAAAATTTTATCGGCTTTTAGCAACATTGCAAATTTCTTCAAGGGATTTGCAAGGGAGTTTTTTAAATTGCAAAGGTAATGAGGAAAATTGCAATCAATTTAGATACTCACAGTGCACTCGCAAAAATATTGGCAAATAAGGAGGGAGAATGTGAAATTTCAACAATATTAAGAAATATATTTTACTAAGATTTGCCTACAGTTTTATACAGACAATGACATCGTGAAACGAGAGAACTCGATCAATAAGGATTTGTAAACAACAGCTCATTCAGGGCGGCAATTGACTACTTGCGTGATAGACTAAATTTTTATCTCATTTTGATCTACGCGGGGGAAATTGACAGCCCAATACCCTTTGAGGCTGTCAATTTCCCGTTTGTAATCTAAAATGACTGAAAATTGCAAACTTCGCAAGGCTATATTATCCGCATTTTACAACATTTCGCAACCAAACTTCGGAATATTACTAATTTTGTGATGCTCTTTCAAGCTGTGATGAAATTTTTGTCCAGACTTGTTTAGATCAAAATTTAGTCTATCACGCGAATGGTCAATTACCTTTAAAAAATAAATCATATATAGCGGCACTTGCAGAACAAATCTTAGGCATGGTTATATGGAAGCCATCTTTCTAACCGACTTACTCGGCAACGACTAGATCTAGGACTATAAAATTATGTAAACTCGTTTTATAGTAAAATATATTTCTTAAAATTGCTGAAATTTTACATTCTCCCTCCTTATTTGCCAATATTTTTGCGAATATACACGCGTCACTTAAAACTCGAAGAATGCTCAAATCGTTAATTGACTTCGAGTTAAGCCCCGGCGAAAAAGGGCGTGGCAGGGGGCTAAACTCGAAAAGGGCTTAAAGGGGCAATGTCACCGATTTTTGACCTAAAATGCCTTTTATTCAAAAACTGAACTACAAAGTTGAAAATAAACATTGTAAATGGATTAAGTTATGATATATGGGTCATATTAAACAACTTTGAACTTCCACGCAACATGTGACATGATATTTTCATAAAAATTGACTAAAACTTGAAAAAGTGCTACTGCCAACAATCAAGATGCCATTTACAATCCATCTCAATCCTGGCGTAATCTTGCCCATCCAGACTTCTGTACATGTTTTTTGTGTCTGTTATTGCTTTATTTTCTGCTTACACTCATTCTTTTTCAGTTTTGGACAAAATTTGCGAGGGTTGCCTTGGAATTGCCCAAAAATCGGTGACATTGCCCCTTTAATAACTCGAAGGGCTTAACTCGAACAATACCTACTCCGCTTTGGCCTGTGTGTCAGGCTGTATGCTTGGTCAGAAATAAACAAACGTGCCTTTTAAGGTAATATCCAGTTGTTGTTTATGTAATATGATATTACGTACTTGTAATTGTACTTTTGGCCACATCAATTAGTGCCTTTGCTGTCTATAAACACGGCAATATCCGTTATTATTATTTAGTATGTAATTCCTGGCCGTTTAATGAAAATTGGAATATTTATTTTCGAAATATTGGCGGAAAAATTAGTTGGCAAATCTTCTTTTATTATTTCTTCTTTTATCTACTTTTATACTAAAAGAAGATTTTTTTGAAGCAAAATTTCTTCTTTTATCTTCTTTTAGTATTTTTTATTTTTTTATATTATATTTAATTATTTAATTTAAAAGTAGTTTTGTAAATTTGACAATAATATTTATTTAATTATTTAAATAACAAATATAATAAGAAAACTGGGATTCAATCATTTTCATAATGAAAATTCCATTACGTTCACCAGTCTCAATAGTGAAATTTAAAAATTACGTCACATTGTGACTTCATCATCGTATTTTTTTTCGAATGTCAACAATCTTCTTTTAGTACTTAAAATCTTCTTTTAGTACTAAAAGAAAAAAGAAGATTTTTTTCTCATAAAAATCTTCTTTTATCCAACCCTGCCGGGGGTGGGGCGGGCGGGCGGTGTGGTCGGGCGGGCTATCATATTTTAAATTAACTTTGATAATCTAAAATCACATCCAAATTACTGTCCACTTTTTATTGACTTCAGTAGCAGGCTCTATTTCAAGAAAGAGCCTGACATGCAGGCTAGGGGGGCTTAATTTTTCCAGTTATATAGTTAAAAAATGCCCTGTAGGAATCTGTTAACATTTAGTTCATCACACTTCCAAATTTTGTCAAAATAGTTTCTGAAAGTATTACTAAGTAGAACTTTTACCAATGTTGATGACATCTTCAAATTTGCAATGCATCGATCTATGAAGGATCGGATGGATTGCAATTGTTTCCAAATAGAAAGTTTGGGTCAAGTTTTTCCTAAAATATATCGTAGCCAATTTTAGACAAATAGCTGAGTGTCAGGATGGAAATTCCCTTACGATGTTCTATGATGCACTCTTGAAATTGACGTTAAAACGTCCTCATTGTTATCATAAGGTGCTCATGGTAATAAACTTGCCCATTATGTATGTCTTCATCAGTGGTCTTCACACAACACACAACGTACCTAACAATCTTGATCCCAGTCTGGGAACGAGGTTGCGCATCTGACTCAAACGAAGGTAGACGTAGCAGGCGGTATGCGCGGGCACGAGAAAACGGGAAGATAAAACGAAGGCTAAGTTATAAGCTAAAATTTGGAAGGTCTATTTGAATGATCACAAGCTAGTGTACAAAGGACACTCTCTTGCAAACGAGTTCACCATTAATACGCACTATCAGGTCATTATGTATGTCAGGTTGAAATGTGTCTTATGAATACTACTAGCCCATTTTTTTGCGGTCGGCATAACGTCACACACCTTCATAACAGTGTAGAAAATCTTTTGAACCACTATGATATAAATCCCCATGACTGGTACAACTTTGAGATACTGAATGAGTGTAATCCACGAATACAGAACCGCAATGGAGCCAGAAGCAATATGAGCCGTAGATATTTCTTCCTCCACAGGGAGAAGAAAGAGGTAAACAAGGATACGCATTGATATTTCATAGTAACGAGAAACCTTGGTGAAGTACTTTATACCTTGTACTTTCATCTGAAATAAAACATAGGCTAGTTATCGTCTTATTGATGCTCAGCTAACTAAACATCTTAGTTCATGGAGAAAAGTTGCTACGCTTGTGGGACTTAATATTTGTCAAAAAATATTTCAGGGTTTTCGTGGCTGTTTTGATTTTAATTTCGTTTTTATTTTTTTTTTAAAGTTGCCTTCTTAAAGTCTGTAATCAACGGCCGAAGGGGAAGCAAGATTGGTTCTGTTCGTAATGTTCATTATAGTAATGACGTCAATAATTTTTTCATATTGCACCCATTGACATCAATCGTGAAAAAAAACCATATCGCAGGTATTATTAAAGTACGCAAGCGCCTCTCGCAGCCACATTTTCAAAATAAACTAACCATTTACAAAGCAAATTTACTATCTTCGTCCAAAAAATTATAAAAAGTCGCTGTTATGTGGACTTATCTCGCACTCTCGCAGACTTCGGGTGAAAAGCCACTCAAAAATGGTGGCGTATAAGAAAGGCTAATTTAATACTATGTTTCAGTTAAATTATATGTGCATAAATCAAGGTGCATGAAAAAAATCAATATCTTGTTGTTAGTATCAATAATTGTGTAATTGATTCCTACAAGAGAGGATCCCCCTGTTCCGCCGCCGCTGAGTTGAACGAGTCTATTACCTGGACAATTTCTTTCAATACAGATCCAGATGTAATAATCAGCAATATTATTCTTAATACCATCACGTTTGGAGCATTTGCTGATGTACTCTCGCGTTTATGGATATGTCTGGTAACATTTTTGCCATCAGCTTCTGAAAATTTCAGAAAGTATAAAAACTATAATAACAGAGTAATTAACTTTGTAACATGTGTAACCCATGCAGATAGATAATTTAATAGGGCACTGTGCCAAATGTGGCCCATAAGCCTACGTGAACCGAACTTTAGGGACCGGTCAAGTACACCTACAATTGAAAGTGACCCCCCTCCAAGCACTTGTAGCCTTTCCGCGATCTCTCCGAGGTTCATGTTCAAAGTACGTTTCTTTCCTTTAATTCCAACACCAAACCAACTATCCGAAAGAAACATAAAGAACTTTACTATTTTGTTCAGTTAATAACACGAAGCTTCATACACAACCGTGACTGTAATTCATCCGGTACGAGTATTAATCCTCCCGGCGGAGCTCTGTGCTTGATCTAAATCAGTAATTACTAAACTAGAAATACATGCATCATGTGTAAACAACCCCTCGCCCACTTTTCCAAATATTGTTTCAACATGAAGTATCCATAATTACGCCAACACTGAACGGAGGCTCGCGTTTCTCGCGTCATGTTAGCCGTGTAGCGCTTTACACTTTTGACTATACAGGGTGTCCCAAAAAACCCAAAGCTAGCTAGTGAAATAACGAATTGTTAGAATTTGAATGCCTTAACACTAATCTGAAAGCAAAGATCGATCGGCCGCCAGCAAATCCGCCGGGTAGAACACGAATATATGAATATACACCCCCCCCCAATTATCGGTCTAGCTACGTCCTTGTTTTTGGGACACCCTGCATGTAGAGCGCTTGCACTCAATCCTCAGGGACCAACTCAACAAAAGCCATGGCGACCATGTTGGTGTTCCAGACAAAAGAGTTTAATTAAAATTCTTTTGAGTTGGAACACCAACGTGCATGGCGGCTGTGACGTCATGTGCAAACGCTCTATAGAACTATCGATTTATATATAAAGTACGTATGTTATTTTGCATTCTATGGATTTTATTTTAATGTCAAATTCAACACAAAACGCTTCGTAAAATGTTTTTAAATGTTCAGTGAAATTAACTGCTTTTTGCCGATAAAATCAAATCATACAGGTCACTCATGGAAATAATTTGCTCTCCTTTTTTGAGCTTCAATAAGAAATAAAACCGAATAAATTCAAAGAAACTTTCACATACAATGAAAAGGAAAGCTGCTTGTTCAGGGTCTGCAGGCGTGAAATGAACAGCAAAGTCACACATAAACTGTTTTAGAAACAAATTTACCCTATACTTCAGGATTAATTTCCCATACTTATCGTTTCTTTAAAAGCAGCTTGCCTAATGTAACATCTTCCGCATCTTTCTTGTTCTTTTCTTTTCCGCTCAGCGACTGCCCTTCATTTAATATCTTTAATTGTTTTAATGTCGTAAATATCGAATAATATGATTTTACTCAACATTGAATTTCGTGAGAGTGCATTGATAGTGTCGTGGTCGTCTATGCTGATATAGCCTTCTGTCTGTACAAGTCCGTCAGACATTTTCTTGGGAGAAAATCATCTGGCGTAGGCCGACTGTGATACACTTCCATGTATGCACGAAACTAATCATTGTGTTGTGGTCTGACTCTTTTTATGTTTTTTTTATTTCTTATTTGAATTTTTCTTATTTAATTAAATTTTTCATATGAGGGCCACAGGATTTTCAGTCATATTGCTGTCATGTGTTTTTACCCTCTTTAAATAAAGTTGTTCATTCATTCATTCGTTTAATTGTTTTGCAACTGGATTTAGTGGATTACCACCTATCCTGGATTACCTGCAAACTTTAACCCATTTTAATGTAGGACCAGTTGATCAGTTTTGCCGTTTTAGAAGTGTTTTTTCTCAAACCTTTCTAACGAGCGTTATGGTAAACACGGTAAATACTCGTCGAATAATTACGAGTACAAGCTTCAAACCAGTCTTTCAACATGGATTTTTACACATGATTTGGTTAAAATAAATAAATCGCTGAGTGTTTTTCTTCAACAAGTTATATTTTATTGATTAAAACAATGAAAAGTTTTGTGAACATTCTGGAGGAAATATTTTTCAATAAAGAGACAAACCTGATTTCCCGTGCTTTTTTGCCGTGCTCAAAATACGCATTTTAGCCAATCAAAAACGTTCTTATATAACATGTGTATTACTAATAATTACTTACCCTTTACCACAATGATCTGTTTCACCTCACCAACAACGAGTGTTGTATATATTATAAGACAAATATGAAAGATCATACTCAGAGTTATTGATGCTAAGCTGTATTTGAATCCTCTCTTTCGCCATTTTACGTCAACAAACTTTACAGCTACTGGATGACTTATACACGCTTCGCTTTCATTTTCCATCATACAATTGAGAGCTTCCAATCTAGGACCTGAGCCGCAGTTTGTATCTAATAAGAAATATGAATAATACTGTAAACTCATTTACGTTATACCATATGTGAGTGAATACACCCTTTCGGAGAGCGCACCGCCTTTCCTCTAGAGCCTCGTTTTCGTGTTTGCGATCTTGGTTTCAGTGCTATTATTTTAAAGATCTTTATATAATTTCACGTCGTGTTTACGGACCGGTCCGTGTAGCAAAAGTGCATTATAGCCAAATTGTACGAAGTTACATTTCGCGAAAGTGGTCCGCAGCAAGAGTGTGTTCTTCAACAAATATAAAACATTTTTCGTGTTCATATACAATTATATCAACACGAATGGAAATTGGGAAAACGAGAAATTGTGTGGCACAAAGAATAATATATAGAAGAAATTTTCCATGCTGACATTGAGTTATATCAACACGGCTCTTAGCCAACCAGCGTTCAGAATTTACCAATTGTATACAAGAGCAGGTGTGGACACGAATTCTTTAGTGCAATTCTACTGTACGTGCATCCGATCACTTCTCGAATATGCATGCCAGGCATTTCATAGTAACTTGCTAGTGCATTTATCCGATATCAAATAACAAATTGGAAGAATACAAAAACGAGCTCTTCGCATGTTCTATCCAGAGAAAATTGTGGTAACGCACAAGAAATAACAGGCCTGCAATCCTTTTTAACTCGGTATCTCTTAACAATAATCTTAGCTGACTTATTACCGCCACTCAATTTAAATAATATTAGTCTTAGATCTAGCTTAAAATATGAATTGCTAGTTTTAAATCGGTTCGATTATATACTGCGATGTGTAAATATTTAATAAACACCTTCCTTCCTTCCTTCCCTCCTTCCCTCCTTCCTCCTTCCCTCCTTCCCTCCCTCCCTCCCTCCTTCCTTCCTTCCTTCCTTCCCTCCTTCCCTCCCTCCTTCCTTCCTTCCTTCCTTCT